TCGCCTTGAAGGCGACGGGCCCTCAGGGAAACCGGTCCTGAGGTTCTTCGCCGCTCCTCGGCCTCCCGGGCCGGCGACACGCGTAAGAGTGGCCCGGCCCCGCGCCAGCGCGCGGCGTTTCGAGAGCGCAGGAGGAGGCCGAGCCCGAGCGCACGGGCCGTCGTTGTCGCGACGCCTGCAGCAATCGGCGAGCCGCGCTCACTCTTGCCTCGGGGCTCGCTCCTGCGTGTAGCCGCCTGGGGCCCCTCACGGGCCCGTCTAAAGAAACGCCTCGAGATGGAGAGCTGGTGGTGGGGAAGGCCTTCTCGGGTGTGGCCAGGACGAGGATGAAATCCGTTCCAGAGCTTTTCTGGAACGCTCTCAGAGCGTCCTGGGACGCTCTGGGAAGAAGGCCGCGGCGGCCGAGACATGCTCCGGAGCCGCCAGATCTCAGAGATTCTCGATTCATCCTCACCCGAATTTGGCCTCGTCCTGGCCTCGTCATTCTCTAGGGTCCAGGACCTGTTTCCCTCAGGACCGGAATCGTCCACAGCACAGGTGGATCTGGAGTCAGCGGAAGAGAGGGGAAGAGGACGTTGGAGTGGGATAGGGGAGGGAAAAAGGAGGAGGAGGGGGAGGGGGAGAAGGGTGGGGAGGGAGTCTGCTCCTCCACAGCGGCCTCATCGTCCTCGCCGTCCTCCCGTCGCCACTTCTGCCTCCCAGATGTGCGTCGGAGCAGAGCGGGGTCGACGGCGCCGACATTCGCGCGCAGGCCTCCCGCGTAGGGTCGCGCGCGAGCGCGCCCTCTTCTCCAGGCGGCGTGCCACTGGTGGCCCGTGTAACGCCCGCGGCGTGAGGTTGTTATGTCTTCTCGTGCGAGACTCGCTTCCTTTCTCGTCGCTCAGATGGTGTCCAAGCAGGTCGGGTCGGACGATCGCGCCGCATCTCCGATGCGCCGCTGGTCGATGCGGAGCCCGATTTTCTCCACGCCGATGTCGCCGATGCGTCGGCAACGATTCATCGGCGATGCGGCGCGATCCTCCGATCAGTCCCGGGCAGTCGCCGCGGGGCTGGGGTGACCGTCGGATCGACGAGTTCGTTGTCGACTTTTTTTGACGGGCCCCGTCAACCGTTCAGGGCAGTCTAGCGCTGTCAAATTTTGCGCGGCGGTGGCACGACCTCGGTGGGCGCGCCGTCGAACCCCGCAGGACAGCCCGTCGCTGCCAAAATTGGCGTGGCGGCTGTACGACGAGCGCGGGCACGGGTCTCATGCGCCTTCTGGTGCTCACACTCGTTATGGTGCTCGCATGTGGTTGGCTATACGCAGGCTATGGGCAGGTCACGAAGAGGCCTTGAATAGACCTTGGCTCGGCCGTGGACTGGCCTCAATCGGGCTCTGGCTAGGGCATGGAGAAGCTCTCGGCAGGCCGCCTGGGTCAGGCCTGGGTCAGGCCTTGGGCAGGCCTTGGGTTGGCCCTGGTCAGGCCCCGTGTTGGCCTCGGGTGTGCTCCAGGTGGGCCCCGGGTAGGGCTTGGTCACGCTCCTGGTCGTCTAGGCACTGGGTAGGCGTTGGGTGGGCCCCAGGTAGGGTCTGGGGGCGCCTTCGGTAGGCCCGGGCTGACCTTGAGTAGGCCTTCGGTCAACCTCGGGAAGGCTCTGGATTGGCGCTGGGCGGGCCAAGCGGAATCGGAAGATGACCACAAACCGCTTAGACACAGTCTGCCTGCGCCATGCTTGGCCGCCAGCTGGTGGTTCACATCGGCGAGCGGAGCTTCAGGGGCGGCGAGGAGTCGGCAGCGAGAACATGTCTCTGTCTCTCTCCTTTCCATCCGTCCTATCTTCCCCTGTTTTAGGGGCTGCGCCACATGCACGTGACAGGAAAGGGAGATATAACCCCTGGGGGGTACGATCGACGACGAAAATTGCGTGAATGAAACGCGAGCAGATAGGAGGGGTCAGTCTTGTAGTGATTGCTGTTGTTGTTGCTGCTGTTGTTGCTGCTGTTGTTGGTGGGGGTGGTGGTTCAGTTGTTGTTGGTGGTGGTGGTGGTGTTGATGTTGCTGTTGCTGCTATTGCTGTTGCTGTTGCTGTTATTGAGATATGCGTTGTTTATGTTGTTGTTGGTGATGTTGTTTTTGCTGCTGCTGTTGTTGCTGTTGAATTCCCATGCCGAAGAGTAAGTATTATTGATCCCCCAGTGATCAGTGCACCCGGGGCTAGCACCCGGTTTTTTATCAGGGGAAATATGTTGTCACCGAACCGTTTCGTTAGTCCCCGGTTTAGAACAATAGCGGCCCCCGGTTGATATTTTCTCACAAGGTATTTCAAATTCGCGCTCTCGCGCGGTAAGTCATCATACATTATGCAGGGAAATCGCGCTCTCGCGTGGTATTTTCTCATAATGTATTGCTGCACCGTGCCCCCAAGTCTCACAAACCACGCTCTCACTCTGGACTGCCTGAGAATTTGCTTGGGAAGTGTGCTATCGCTCGAAATTTCCTTCATCGTGAGTTGACGCTTTAGCGACCCGCCCGCTCGACCTGGCCGTCTGGGCCCGCCCGACCGACCTGCCCGACACGCCAGTCTGGTTCTGCCGCTGGTGCTCCTGCTCCTAACCCCCTCCTCCTGCAAATGCCTCTCGCGCTCCTTCTTTCTCCCTCCCCCTTATCTCTTCACTCCTCCCCTCCTTCGCCTGTTTTAGGTGCTGCGCCACCTGCACGCGGCAGGTAAAGAAGATATACCCCCTAGAGGGGGTACGATCGAAGACAAAGGGGGAGGGTACCGAGGGTTTGGGGTTGAATGGCACGCTCGCCAATAAGAGCGACCCCTGGTAACCATGTTGTATATTGTTTGATTAAAGTGCTTCTCCCGGGGCTAGCACCCTTTTTTTTCAAGGGAATAAGAGGTATCACAAAATTGTGCCCTGGCCCCTGGTTTACAACAGCAACAACAACGGCTTCCGCCTGGCATGTCCTCATAATGTATTCCCAATCCGCGCTCTCGCGCGGGACTTCTTCACACGTTGATGCAAGAATCGCGCTCTTGCGTGGGACTTATTCGCAATGTATTCAGACGCCCCGCACTCGACACTCGGGAATTATGCTCTCGCTGTGGATTCTCTCACGATTTATTTGGGAATCGCGCTACCGCTCGAGACTTCCTCGCGATTCATGCCAGACCCACGCTTCAGCAACCCGCCTGCTCGACTTGACCGCCTGGGCCCGCCTTCCCGACCCGCCCGTTAGGGTCTACCCGCCCGATCTGCCCGTCTGGTTTTGCCACGTGCTTTTTGCTCCTAGCCCCCCTCCTGCTACTCTCTCGTGCTCTATCCTCCTCCATACCCCTTTGTCCCCTCTTTCCATTCGTCCTCTCTTCCCTGCCTTAAGAGCTGCACGTCATACAAGTTGCAGGTAAGAAAGATCTACCCCTAAGGGGTTCCGAATCGAAGGCGAAGAGGGCGGGTATCGATGGCTTGGGATATACGTGTTGAATGGCACGCGAGCAGGTAAGAGCGAGCAGTGCTGCAATTATTTGCTGTTGTTGTTGCTGTTGTTGAACTCTCATTTCTGAAGAATAATCATGTTTGATCCCCCCTGCCCAGTGCACATTGTTTTCTTCAATTGAAGTGCCCCTCCCGGGATTCGCACCTTGTTTGTTATCGAGGAAACTTTTGAGCGTCAAATTGTGCCCCCGGCCCCCGAGTTACAACAACTGCTCCCGCCTGATACTTCCTCAGAATGTATGGAGAAATCAGGCTCTCGCGCGGGACGCTCTCGCGTGGGACTTCCTCGCCATATTTTCAGACGACACGCCCTACTCAGGAATCACGCTCCCGCTGTTGATTTCTTGACGATTCATTTGGGAATCGCGCTATCGCTCGAGACTTCCTCGCGATTCATGCCAGACGCACGCTTCAGCAACCCGCCTGCTCGACCTGGCCGCCTGGGCCCGCCTTCCCGACCCGCTTGTCATCCGATGGCATGGCAATGTCAGACTGCGGCAGGGATGACGCAGGCAGATGACTCGAGATCCGATGAAATGGCTTGATGTGACAAAACGACCGTAGCGTTGATCACAGATGGCTACGGCAGTGCACGCAATACAAAGGCAGAGCGAGAGAGAGATACAGAGACGGAGAGGAGAAGGAGGAGGGGAGATGGTAATATCGTAAATAAGCTGTGGAGCACCGCTAGCTTCAGACGGGCAGCTCGCATTTCTTCTCTATCTCGTAGGGCGGGCTGTACTCGCGATCGTTCAGCACTCAGTCGCATACCTCGCTTTAAATCGTCATCCTCACGGAACGTGACGGGCTTGCAGTACAGCACCACTCCGTCGTCTAGGATATCGTGCCTCCCTGCAGCAAGGCGCTTCTGGGCAGAAGCGAAGGTATCATCGTATACCAGCCTCCAGTAACTGCATCTGTGCGAGCATCGTACACCCATCGGGATCATCGTATAGCCCATCCGCTGGGACCCCATTTGGGAGGCCTCGTCCTCGATGTCCTGCCGCCGCCCCCCCTCACTCCAGATCCGCCGTGCTTTGGGTGATTTCGTGAGCATGGCGGAAATACCCGCCCTGCTTTCCAAGCTCCTGTGATGTGGACTTCGGGCCTGCTCTGCCGTAGCTGTTTCCACCACACCTCTGTTGAAACACAAGGCTTGACTCGTCTGCGGCGGCAATGCTCCCAAGACGTTTTCGCATCGTGCGGACGGGCTCCCTCGCTCGCAAGCTTCGTCGGAGACCAACCAAAGTACGGCGGATCCGGAGTCAGGGTCCTCCTCCTCGGCCTGTCCTCCTCGTGCCCCTCGACCTCCCCAGAGCTCCGACGCCGCGCTCTGTCCACGACGTCGGCCCCCAGGGGTCTGGAGGCCCCTTCCCCCGGACCAGCCGGCGGCCCCGCGAGGCCGGGCGAGGGCCCCCTCGGAGGCCGAAAATGAGCATCGAAAATGGCCCGTCGTGCCCTTCCCGCGGCCAGGTCCTGTCTGGGTTCTCGTGCTCTCCTTCGCGTGCTCCCCGGCCTC